TTTTTTTTTTTTTTTTTTTTGTCCTTGATTCTGTGATCTTATCATCAGCTTATTGTAGTTTTGAAATTTTTAGTCACCATTTTGTGATCGTGGAAGGAATAAGCTTATTTGTTTTTTAAAATTATAGATATTAAATTTGTAATTATAGCAAAAATAATTTACAAAGAGATATGAAGGAAAGTTTGATGTGACATCAGATGTGTGTTTGTATTGTAATGATGAGGTTGGAACCGTAAATTTTACTTTATTATTATAATGCTTTTATATCATATTCTTTTGCTTTTTATCTTTTTCATTATTATTATTTGGGCGCAGTCAAGTATGGAAGGATGCTTCCTTAATATTTATGTAAAATATTTTTGTTCCAATCCTAAAAAAGCAACAAAAATATAATGTGCCTTTCACCATTCTAAATGCTGTTTTTCTTTTTTAAATTATTATTATATTAAATATAAAAAAGTAACCTATATGCCTAATTTTAATTTTTCTTTAAAAAAAATTAAATGAATTAAAGTTGAACGCCCAACTAGAAATTTGAATTTGTTAACTTCATGAAAGGTAATAAACCTCGTACATGTTATGTTACACAATAAATACGCTGATGATAACTATGATTATATATTAATTTGAACCTAGTTTAACAAATAAGACACCAATTTTCATCTTAAAAGTTGATAATTCGATTTATTAACCTTGAACTACAAAAAATTACGACGGTTTACCTTAATTATTGTCAATTATTATACAAATAAATAATTTATTAGAAATTATTTGGTCTTAGTTCAAATTCAAGAATTACAATTTTATGTGACTTGATAAATGGTTTGTGATTTCTTAAAAAAAAAAAAAAGTATATAATAAAAATTTCTATTAATAGAAATTAAAACAAATTGCAATCAAATGAAAAAGTAACAAAATGATTTTTCTTTGTATAAAAGTTAAGTAAACAATCATTTCCAATCTGTTATTTGTCATATTTGCCATTCAACAAATGGACAGATTTAAATATTTTAATATTTTTACCACAATTTTGTTTATACATCTTATTAAATTTATCAACCTGAACTAAAATCAAATAGATACTTTTAATTAAAAGGTCAAAAAGTTAAATATTTAACTCCATCTATTTTTAAATTAAAAAAATTAATTAATGAAAGATTCCACACTTTCACTATAGGTTAATAAACATTTTATTAATTAGACTTGTTGCCTTTTTTTTCATTAAAAAAGAAAAAAAAAATGATTGATGATTTACGATCCTACCCTCTAAAGTTTTTTTTAGTCTTTAACCCAAAAATTAAAAAAAAAAACACCTACAAATTAACTTCCAAATTATTAACGTGCTCTTAATTTAACTAGTTAAAACATATATTTTTAATAAAAAAGAAAAGTATTTTTTAGTGTCGTGGAATTAAAAAAAAAGAAATTATAACACTAACTCGGACATAATTCATCGATTAAAACACGACACATCATGTACAAGTAAAAAATGAACCGAAAACTAAAACGCGGTCAGTTATGAGGTAGTTTCTTTTTCACCTACTAACCAAACAGCTTTAAACTTGAAGTAACAATGATTGATATATGTGTTGGTGAAAAAACAGGGCCCTCTGCTAATTGAGTGGAGCTTTGAGGACATGTCTTATCATCTCTCTCAGTATCATTTTACACACAGAATAAATACCATTTTGTTTCATAATAATCCTTTAAATCTCTACATTTTCCTCCGCCAAAACCAACGCCCTTTCTCTGTTTCTTCGGTTTTAGCTTCAAATTTGTGTTTAATCTTATAAATAAACAAGTTTGATGGGTGTGCCTCAAACTCCAGCAGCCCCTCCTCATCTTTATCCCCAAGCCCTGCAACTCAAGCTTTATCAGGCCTTCATATTCTCCATTCCCATTCTCTTTTCTATTATTCTCTTTCTTCTTTTCTACTTGTTTTATCTCAAGAGAAGGGCTTCTTCTCTTTCTTCTTCTTCTTCTTCTTCTCCTCCTCCGATTCTTCCCACAACTTCTAATCGACTCACTCTCTATGTTACAACTGTAAGTGTGTTTTGGTGTTTCCTTTGCTTTAATTTTCTTTTGGGGTTGGAGAATCTATGCAAAGTTTGAAGCTTTGATGTTCATCTCTCTGTTTTGGGAAGTGGGTGTTCGATTTTTGGTCTGATTTTGTCCCATTTTTGTCTCAATCTTGTTGTTCTTGATTGTGCAGGCTTGTCGAGTGGATTTGAAGGCGGATAATCCCATGGACAAACTTCCCAAGATCTTTTTCAATGAAGAGCTAAGAAGCAGGGATTCTCTGTAAGTATTATCGCCATTTTTCTGACAATCTAAACTCTGTTGGTTTTTTGAGTTCTTTTCAAAGGAAAAAGATGTTCATGAACACTGGTTTCTTTAAATGGGTATGGGATATTGAATTCGCTAAAGAAGTTAAAAGAGTAATTTTCTTTCTATAGATAGTATTTTGCAATTTAGTCCTTGCTCAATGTTAAAATTAGTTTAGAGAAGGAAAAAGATCCTATATTGTATCAAAGTTTATTATTTTAAAGGACTAAATTGTAAATTTTGAAAGAGTAGAGGCTAAAATACATTTATCCACTATTAACGATGAGAGGAACCACCGCCCAATAGTACTTTTATGAAAGAGCTTAATAGATACATTGAGACATCTTTATTAGAGCAGCATAAGATTAACACAATCCTCGTCTTGTCCGGTCTAGCTTCAATGTGCATTATGAAAAGGACCAATATATATATATATATATGTATGTATATATATATATATAGAACAGTGAAGAGATAGAGGTGGAAGGTTTAGTGACTGAAATAGGGAGCACACATAAGAAACAAAATAAAGGTAAAAGTGAAGCTCATCTTTTTCAATTTCTTTGATTATAATTTTCTTTTCTTTTCTTTTCTTTCCCTTTAAGGGATTGGAATCTCTTATAACATCCGCTCTTTAATTTGTCAAAAGTGGCTTTTATATTTTTGGTTCTATAGCTGCTTTTGTTTTTGTTTTTGATTTCTTTTATTGAAAGGTGTTATTTGTAGAACCTTAGGCCGACAAAATTGTTATTGAAGATGAATGGCATGTTTCATTTTTCCTTTTTCTTCCAATTTCACACTATTCTTTATTCTTTTATTACTTTAATACATAGTTCTAAAAAAAATAATTGATTAACCTTCACAAGAATTGATCTTCTTCCGTTGCGAGCACGACAAATAGAAATGATAAAACTCTTGACCTAAGTATAACTCTACCTGCTAAGTATACAGATGAATCTTCATTATAGGTCTATAAGCTCAAATCATTTTTGTAACGACCCAAGCCTACCGCCAGTAGATATTGTCCTCTTTAGGCTTACCCTTCCGAACTTCCTCTCAAGGTTTTAAAACGCTGCTAGGGAGAGGTTTCCACACCCTTATAAAAAATGTTTCGTTTTTCTCCCTAACCGATGTGGGATTTTATGAGATCTCATATCGACGGGAGAGAGGAATAAGTGTGAGACGCTGGGTCTTGAAGGGGATGGATTTGGAAATTCCACATCGGTGGGAGAGAATGAAACATTCTGTATAAGGACGTGAAAATCTCTCTCTAACATATATGTTTTAAAACTTTGAGAGAAAGTCTAAAAGAAAAAACTAAAAAAAGATAATATCTACTAGGAGTAGACTTTGGCTGTTACAATTTTATCTTGCTCTTCGACCTGTGATAATCTCCGATTAGGGTTGAGAGAAAGATTCGGACTTTAAGTCGAGATCATACTGTTCTTTAAGATATGTGGGGTTGCAAATCAAAATCAACACTAACTCAAAAGAAAAAGCAATAACTATATTATCTATTTAATATCAGGTGCTGCGTCTGCTTGGGAGAATTCGAGATAAAAGAGGAATTGTTGCAAGTCCCATCATGCAAACATGTGTTTCATATTGACTGCATGAATCTCTGGCTCGCCTCCAACTCAACTTGCCCTCTTTGTAGATGCTCAGTTATCCCAACAACCCGATGTTCTGACCCGCCCGTTCTTGTGCCGCCACAACTAACGCCGCCCCCACCTCCGCCTCCGCCACTGGCTGCCTCATTGGAACTTCCCCTGGCTTCTAACCAGACTGCAGAGATGGTATCATATTCACTCCAACATCCGCAGCTGCAACAACAGATAGGATCAAGTCAGAGTATATGCTAAAGGCATTGATCTGACCTTGCATTGGAATCACAGGCGGAGTTTAAATGGACAAAAACGTGAAGAATCAGCTGTCCACCATAATCATATAAATTTATAAACAAACAAGCATTTTGAAACCTCCCCATTGTAATCAAAAGTTGGCCAGGCATTGTGATCTTCAGACAGCCAAAATAGTCCTGTTAAAGATCAGAATGTGAAGAGCTAGTACTTGAAAATTGCCAGGTAGAACGAACACTTTCCTGGCTCCCTTCCCTTCATTGCAATAACCAATGAATATGGAATTCAAATATGTACGGAAATAAAAGGTTCTAGTGTTGGGTTTGTGTGTGCATATGGTGTAAGCATCAAGTTAAAACACGAGTAAAATAAACCTTTCTTGAAGCTTAAGCATCATATGATGCTTCCAGTCTTCTGCCTTGAATAAAATGATTGAAGTCTAGAAAAGATATATTTACATTGATCAGGAAAGAAAGGAAAAGACTCACACAAACTCATCCCACCTCCAGAAGCCAAGTCTCTATGATATAATGCATTATTCCGAACATCCCATCGCACTCCTTTGGCGCCTATTTAGATTTTCATGTTAGCAAAAATCCAGCTTGGCTTCTAATTGGCTCTAAAAAATGTGTCGTCACATAAACAGCCCTTCGTTTGCCCCTCTTTCAATTTTATGATTTATTATAGACCCAAAACCACAACAAGCTCTAACAAAACAAACAAACAAGGGAAAGACATCTGACGTAGAGTTTCAATAACAAAAATTAAGTTCCTATCTCAAATTGCAGGGGAGTCGGGGATTACTACTGCCCCTTCAACTTCTATTGACGCCAGCTGCTTGCTTCCTGAGCTCATCTTTTTCACTTGCTCCCTAGAGCATATAAAAATTCTTCTCACCATGTTACAGAATTCTCTGCAAAAGAATGAAAACAAAGGAATGAGTGGAAACAAGGTCTACAAGAAGAATCATATAGATTGAAGTATGAGTATCTAATAGTACTCACTCCCATGGATCGTCTCCAACAAGCATCATATCCCCTTCATCGTCAGTATATACAATCTCCCACTTATCTCGTGCAGACAGCTGTCCCCTGACATCAAACATCTTCTCAAGTTCATCTATTAATTGGTCATAGCCTTCTAAGATGGTTAAGTCTACTGCCCTACCCACGGCCATTCCATGCATGTGAACCTTTTGGCACAATTGGACACCAAACATAAGTAACAAAGAATAGCCTTTTTAGTTCATGAACACAATTTGTTTACAACAAAATTGAGTGAATGAGTTTAACTTCTGCACCTTGGTGCGGCTTCTAGTGTTAGTTGAGCTACTTTGAGTCTCCTTCAGAGATGCTTGTAATGGCTCTAACTTTCTATCTATAGAGGCCTCTATGTTGTCAGATTTTGATTCGGACTGAGCCACTGACAAGGTGCTGATGCGCCCATCTGTGTGACTAGACATACTGCTCGGTTGAGAAGATGCTTTCTCAGCAGGAAGTTTAGCCAAATGATTGAGATCAATGCCAAACAATCTACAACTAGCTACAGTTTCGCCTTTCCTCCCATTTTCAGTGGGATCAAGTATTTGATCATCACTTACCTTTGAAGGTCCTGACAGAATAGACCAACCACAGACAGGTACAGTTTTATAATCCTGTGCTGTGTCATTTACTGGGTCTTTATAACCATTGGATTGGGTAGAAAATAGCCAGGTCCCATCAGTCTGTGTTCTTGAGACACATGTGCTGTTGCTGATAGTATCTATCTCACTATGATGACACAGTTCATTATTTTCACCTAATCTGCTCTCAGTTGCATTACCGAACTGTTTACCATCATGAGATTGTGCCAATCCAGAATCCCAATGTGCTGACTTAGTCAAATCAGCACCATCTGCATTTCAATTAGAAACAGAGAATAAAATAGAAGCTGGAATACATATAGAATTGACTGATCCAGGTAAAAGACAAAAGAGAGCATAAACAAAATTGTCAAACCATGAGCTGGAGTTTCAGTTGATTGTCGAGGCCTTTTGTTTTTTGAAACGGGTTGAGACAAACTTGAGACCGCTGAAGACGTGAGTGGTTCTATATCCCAAGGCGAAACCCTGTCAGGTCTTAGAATAGATGTTTGCTCATCCCATTGAACCTGGAAACTGTTAAATTAAGTAAATCATTCGAAAGGGGTTTGAAACAATGATGTTCCCGGTGGGGAATTCAGAAAGAGTAGCTCACCCTTAGTGATCTCCAGCTTGAATTGGCCCAATGAGGTGAAATATCTCCAGCTCCAATTATAGTTCCTGAAAACCTAATTAGTCGAGGAAAAAAAGTCAGGAGATAAAACTCAAACATCAAGAACATTACAGTCATTTTTAATATTTATTTCACTACCTTCTCTCTGGAGAATCCTCTCCCTCAAAACTCATGTTGAATCTCATGCCAAGAGAAAATTTATAATTGACTGCTTCCAAGTACTTATTCAGACTTATTATGAACTGACAAGTCCTGATTTAATGAGAAAACCGATTAGTCCTCTTCAATAAGAATATAATTGACTACCGAATTGAAATCCTGGAGTACCTAGGTTTATAATAGACTACAAAACGGGTTTGGGTTGTAACAGCATGAGATGCAGTTGCGAGCACTCCTAGGTGCATGCTCTGACTCGATATCACAGATGGTGGCATGCTGCTTTGCTGTTGAGCACGACGCCTCACCCCAACACGCAACTGTCCATTGTCTCCCCTATTAAACCAACTCACATGTGAACTAAAGCTTGAACCACCATAGAAATTAAATATAGATTGCTTCACATGATGATAGTACATAATGCACACTACGTTTTAAAGGTCCGATAAATGGAATATCCAACCCCATCTTAACCTACTAGCTAACCAATTTTGAAATTTCAAGCATATTAAGTCATGTTTGTAACTAGCTGAAGTTGGTAATTTATGTTTTCATAAAACTCTAGCAACATTTTAATATTTAAGCTCTATTCGTTTGATAGGACTGTTCCATATTTGAGAATGGCTTCCTGTGGACTCTATAATTCTGTCAGAAAATCAATCACTGTTCTGCATTCTCGTAATCACAGCAGATACTGCTGGCTGCTGTTCTTCAAGCAAGATCATGCTCAAACAAACAAATCACTGCTGAATGAGTGATACTTGTAACATCTTTATAGCAGAAGTGTTTGCTCATGCATAGGGTTTTAGAGGATGTTTTGATAAGTAATCAACTCAAAGAAAAGCTATGATACCACACTACATGGAAAGTAAGATTCAAATTACCTTGTTGATCAAATATCTCAAGGCAAGAACACTTAAGTGAGATTCGAATCACTCCACAAGCAAGATCGATCTAAACTACATAGAATCTCAAGGCAAGCTTGAATGATTTTAAACATGCAATCTAAACTACTAGAATAGAATTACAAAGAAACTTAGCCTTTGACCAAAGGAAAGCAAAAATGCTCTTTTTACTATATTTTTCAAGTCTCCTTACAAAGACAACATACATGACTTCATATAGCCTCAAAATTAAAACCCTTAACCTTCCATGAGGCATTCCAAGAGTTGCAACTTTCATATTTTATGACTATAATTAGCCACTATGTACACTTTATGGTTATAATTAGCCACAATGTAAATAAGCCTTAAAATACATTAAAGAAACACAAAACTCTAAATTATCACACCCAAAATTTGTAACCATTCAAGAATAAATAAAGCTTGATTCTTCTTTAATGTGGCATGAATTGCAACATCTTATGATAATTTGAACAACATTTTTTTCACATCGTCTTCGAAGTTTTATCTTGCATGATTGATGTCTTGGTTCATATCATGTTTGATCCAACAAACAATAATGCACAAGATCAAACAGTAATTCTTTTGTCCACGTATAATATCCTTTTCTATTACCAAAGAGTCCATAAAAACAAGTACTTGCATGCTAATTTTGCGTAGAGGTCATTCTGAAAGACTTAAATATTGAAAGCCTAGGAAATAAGAGAGTTTTAGATGAGGAAGATTCTATTTTGAGTTGGACCTAGATTTTTTCATGGGTATTTGGAAAGCAAGATTATATTTCTCTCAGGTCATAATTCCTCGTCACAACTATGACCTAAGAAGCACGAATATGGATACAATACAACATGGACACAATGACACATCATTTTTTAAAATTCTAGGACATGAACAAGGCAACGGTACGCTTATTAAAATATATGTCATTTTATACTAGAAGGAAATTCAACAACAATAAATTTACACATTTATATGCTTAAAAATGAATTTTTGATGTATTTTATACATAATTTATTACTTTTGTCCAATATCATCATGGGTCAATTTAGTATGTTTGGTAAGTGTTTCATTTGTGTCTAAAAAATATTGGGACACATATTGACTTCGTATAACTAGGGATTAACACATATCTATTGTGCTAATAAGTGTTTGACACGTGCCCAATAAGTGTTGGGAGTGTCCAAATGTGTGACACGTGCCGGACATGGACACATTAGCCAAACTAAAGTCTTTGTGCATCTTAGGCTATTACAATAACTATTAGTGTATTCTCGTAAAACATTGGAGGTGAGCTTTTGAATAGTACATAAAGTTTTTCAAGCAATGTTAGAAGGAAAAAATTGCAATCATTAGCATACATGCTCAAGCTTTAAGGTAATTCGCAATAGACATGTCCGTTGGAAACTTCAGAATACTTTGGCATTTTGAGTATGTTAAGCAGCCTACAAATCCAAACCCCATAAGTTAGTATAGCTGATTTGTGCTCAAATAGGTCCTTTAGGTTTTTCCTAGGGGGCCTTGGGGTTTCCACATGACATTGCTTGGTATTCTCCATCTCTTTGTCTCTTTCTCTCTGTTCATGTGCCTTAAAGTTTCGCATTTGATAAAGAAGAGGAAATTTAAAATTTGAATGAAGTTTTAAAAACTACTCTGTCCAGGTTTAGAGTTATCACAATTTGCTTCTCACACATAACAAATGCAATGAACAGGATGGATGGGGAAGGGAATATAGATAAAACTGTTACCTCAAGAATACAAAGGAATCTCCAGCAGTTAATCTTTTAGAAGTAACAAATGTACTCCACCCCGTCGTTAGCAGGTGCCTTCGTGGCTGACCTGTTCAATATAATGAAGAATATTTTATTGGCATAGCAGACTGAATAAACAAACTTTCACACTGCTTGTAAAAGGGTATAACTTAACTTATCAGTTAAAATAACATATGATCGAGCAAATTGAATAGACCAATAAGTAAAGGAAAAGCTCTTGTATAAGATCTATAAACGAAAAGATAATGTGTAACCTCTAAAAATATGTTTAAATCGCCACTCATATCCATGAAGATCCTTGGCGACCAGATCCTGAGTTGGTGTAGCCTGAGTCATGTCCTGAAAATTTGCACAATGGAAATTTAGAAGTCTAAAACTTGGAGAGAGTGAGAGAAAGAGAGAGACTCTTCTTGTAAAGGGAATAAAGAACAGGTCTCACCAAAGGAGGTAAGCACTCGTTAGCATGTTTTCGGAGGACAGAAAACCCACCATGAGTGCTGGTATCAGAAGCAGTTAAAACCTTACAGAACGAGTGAACAACTGGTTTGACAGGTTCTGGAGGGCATGGATCTAAACTTCTAGGCTCACTTTGCTGCAGATATACACCACAATGAAGTCCATTGACACCAGAAAAACAATTTGAAATTAGACAAAGCAAAATTCCATCAACAATCAAACTTTGGAATAAATTATATGGTTCTTACATTTGATTCCGGCAACAAAGTTATTTGCGCATAAACCTCATCCGATTCATGATCTGCCTACAAGCATGGAGGAAAATGATAAATAAGAAAACTGAACATTATTCACTAAATAATAGAGACCGACAATTGTCATGAAACCAAAGAGAGGGAATGAACCAATACCAATACTTGAAATCTTAAAAAGGTACAAGAAAGCCTAGCAGGTCATGCAGAAATTTTGAAGTTTGATATTCTGGGAAAGGGTCAAAAAGGAGAAGAACAAAATAAGAACGACAAGGTGCTCTTCTGCCTAGATTCCCCAACGCAGTGCCAAACTTAAAATGAAATAAGCAGAAATAACAGAGTAACTTAAGATAATAAAGAGTAGTACCAGCGGATCTATATGAATTACGCGACAGAGAATCTTCGAGGAAAGATTAAACAGAGGAATTCTCTTATTCAGCTCCAGATTCGTCGATGCCTCTAACTACAATCCACGAGAAATGTTATAATTTCAATTCAAAACCACGCAAACTACATAATGATTTAGAAATTGAATTACAACAAACAGACTACATTATTCAACGCCCACAAATCAACAAACACACAAACTTGTAGTTTCCGCATGAATCACACTCTTCGGAAACAAATTCACAGAAAAGAGAACACAAAACAAGAACCGATCTGAAACGAAAAATAAAAATAGAAATCAGACATACTTGTTCCATGTGCCCCTGAGGGAAATAGAAGACTTTCTCATCAACTCGAGGTATATCAACCAGTGGACCTGCACAAGCCCTCCATAGCTCCATGTACAGATCATCTCTTCCACGACCTATCAAGAAACCACTAATCTCAAACACAGAGAAAAACACCCACTTATATCCCCAAGAAAAGTCCAGGATTAACGTTATTTTACCTTGAGCGGAAACACAAGACTGCGTATACGAATCCCCTCCATGAAAAGTCATCGTCAAGCTCTCAAGTGAAACAACAACCAAAAATCAAAGCAACTCAAAACAAATCTCCCAACGCCCCTGAACCGATCAGAACCAAACATGAGCCACAAAGACAAAGACAAACACTACAATTCCTTCCTTCACAAGGGGAAATACAGAGATAGCGAGACAAGTCCCATTCCACGACGCTCAGTCAAAGACTGAACGCAAGAACTCACAGAAAAGAGTAAGCATAACGAAATTAAACCATCCACACGAACCTGAAACACCTTCGTCACTGATCCTGTGATAAAAACCGCTCGAAAATCAACCGCTAATCCTCTCTGTCGCTCAACAGGGGAGAAAACGCCGTCACAGGAAAGAATCGCAAAACGGCTTGGCGCGCGTCCTATTATACGGGAACTAGCTCTGTAGCTGCCCGAACTGGGAGCCTTCAGTGGACTCTTGACTCAACCAGGGTTAGATTGTGACCGGAGAAGATGACTAAGATGCCGGCGTGAGAGACGGAAAGGAGTGAGAAATGAAAGAAGGAGAGACGGAGAAATGGGTAACTGACGACGTTATATGACGGAGCAAATAGTACGGCATCGGCATGCGTGTTGTTTGGGTAACGGAAGACATGAGAGATGTTAGCGGCGTTATCGTTATTTAACGCCCCCTTTAGTTGTCTGCTTCGTAGCAGGCAACATGGTTGGCTAGAGTTAACCAGGCAGAATATTTTATGGATTTTAATTATTTATTTTTATTTTTAGGTACAAATATTCCATTTCGGGGTTATGACCATATATCATTACCACGCTGACCTGGATAATACCCTTTATTTTCTTTTACTTTTTTGAAAATTAGGTATACTCATTTTTATTGCCCAATTTTCAATATTAAGTTAATATTTTTTTTTTATATATATATTCAACAATTTTATAAATCCACGTATGTACTAAACACATATTTTTGTTTCCATTATATGTACGTTGTCGTTCCACGTCAGCAAGCATTTTTTTTCCAACTCAGAGAGGTATTTCCCCTTGGGCAAAATGTAGATAAATATTAAGATAAATTTTTAATGGAATATTGATTGGTTTTTTAAAATATATTTTTTAAATATATAATAATTGTAATCTTGAGTGCGTTTAGAATGACTCTTTAGTGCTTTCAGGTCAAATAACTTTTTTAAAATAATTAATTAAATGTTTTTTTTTAAAAAAATAATGTTGAAATACTTTATTATTCTAATTTGATCAAAAACATTATTTTATTAATACAAAGTTTGTCAAACTCACATATGAACGACTTTTAAGATGCTCATCAAGTAGTAGTTTATTTGGTAATTATGATCGAAGTATTTTTTTTATATAATTTTTTTAGAAAATATTTTATAATATTACATGAGCCTTTTCGATTATGAAAAATATTTGATCATTTAATTTTAATTTTAATCATATTTCTGTCATATTTGGTTAAATTTTTTTAGATATAATGAAAATATTAATGATATGGATATTATAAAAGTGTTAAATGTGAATGTAAAATGGTAATATTAATGAAGATGTTACATCAATATTTGATTGGTTTTATATAATAAGATTGAATGTACATTATTATTATTAGTAGTAGTGTGATGTGGGGTGGGGAGGAGTGGAGGAAGAATGGTGGGTTTGGGGATTTTGATATTAAAACCAGGGAATGTGGAAGATAGCAAGGACAGACCAATCAACTCCCTCCAACGTGTTTCCTTTTTCTTTTTCTTTTTCTTTTCCCTATTACTTTATTGCCCGACACCTGTCCTCTCTATTCTATTTGCATTTTGGTCCTTCCATCTTTTCAAATTATTAATTTTTGAAATATCTATTTACAATTTTCAAAATAAGTACATTAAAAAGTATAGAGATGATAATATTATAAAATGAACAATTAAATTTCACGTTTTTAAAAGATAGTAATAATATATATATATATATATATTTTACTTTTAGTTTGTAATTATTTAAAAAATGTCAATATAATCTCTTATATTTTAACACTTTTGAGGAGATTTTTGGGATATTTTATGTTAAAATTGAAACAGAATGAATAGAATATTAATGTAATAAAAGAAAAAAAAAAGCATGTTTAAATTTGGTAAAAGGATAAAAATGGGGTATTAATGAAAAGAGACAGTACTTTCAATTTAGAAAACATGAATGATTGAGACATCCTATTCTTTCTCACGTTTTTTTTTTCTTTTTATATTATATTGTCTTTAAATTTCGATACTTTTTCCGTACAAATAATTATTGGACTTAATCTTTGAAGTGACTTTTGTAATAGTTTAAGTCTATTACTAATAGATATTCTCTGTTTTCGCTCGTTACGGATAGTCGTCCGCCTCACTGTTTCAAAATATGTCTTCTAGAGATAAGTTTCCACACCCTTAAATCTTTCGTTTCCCTCTCCAGCGGATGTGGGATTTCCAACTAAATAAGGTTAGGTCATGACATTATACTGACCTAATTCAAAATCGGTCTTATTAAACCATGAACTCAACCATAAATTTTTTAGGTTCAAATTGTTGTTAGATTTCGTTCCATAAAAAACAAAATTTTATTCTATAAAACATCTATTTATTTATCTTTAAATATTTAATTAAAATTTATATATATATTTTAAAAAGTTGTCGTTATAAATTATTTTTAAGAGTAGTGAGAGAATAGATAATATAAAAATAATTATAAAATTAAATAAATATATTTATATACAGTTTATTATAAGAATATATATATTTTGAAATGAGAGACAAATATTATATTAACAAATTGTAACCGCTTAAGTTTACTGCTAGTAGATATTATCTGTTTTGATCTGTTACGTATGGTCAGCAACTTCATAGTTTTAAAATACGTCAATTGGGAAGAGGTTTTCACACTCTCGTAAAAAATGTTTCGCTCTAAATCTTCAACTATGTGAGATATCACGTATACCATAATAATATTCTATTTAAGGTAAAAAAAAAAAAAAAAAAAAAAAAA